TCGAAAGCTTTTTGATCATGGTTTAGCTTGGAATACCACTTCAGAAACCTTGTTGCGGATTGTAATTTTGTGTTATGTTGGTGAATCACAAATGATACATAAAAAGCTTCCAGGAGATGCTCTATTAGTTTCCTAGTTTTGTTGTCTCGTATCATCCTTAGTAATTGGTAGGGTGTTCGTGTGGAATATTTATCATCTTTGATATGTGGATGCAGGCATTTCTAAAGCATGGTGAAATCGAGGAGTGTGTTGTGATGTATGACAAGGTAACGGCAAAGTCACGTGGTTATGGTTTTAGTACCTAAAATGATATGAAGTCAGCTCAATTACTAGCTCTAAGGGCACCTAGCAAGACGATTGATGCGAGTATTCTGGTTTTGTTTAAGCACCAAAAAGTTGTGAATATAAGAAAAATAAATCAAGGAATGAAGTCATATGATTCACCAGAAGTAAATATAATAAATCTCTTAAATCTGTGTTTTGATTTCACCAACTCAACATGTTTATTTGCTAAAACTACCCAAACCTGTGTTTATCACTTGTATATTATTATACAAACCAAGGGTCGGCTAACCTCTTTTGCCCTTCTTGTGACTCTCTATGGGTTCAACTTTTATTAACCCCCAAATCAAATAGTATTGTTTCCACAATTGCCCCCCACCAAAATCTCCCCTCTCACATTTTCAATCAACTAAAACCCTAGATTGTTTCAACAATCGAGTACCATTTCTCGTTCTCTATCTATTTCTGCATAAGCTGTTACTACACGAATCCGTAACGTCTCATGACCATTTTGCAGAAACTCAGAAAACTTCACTTTTCCCAATTTATTTCCTCAAACAACTTCAGATCACCAAAGCCCGATCTTTGTCCAAGCGGGCCGTGCCAAGTTCTCCAATTCTTTAGGTTACTCGCAACAAAAACGGCAAAGAGAACTAATGGAGTGAGGAAACAGGCTCAAAATGCTCTGTTGGATTACCTGCATTCGACCCGGAGCCTCCGGTTCATGGATGCCGAGAACATGAGTACAAACAGCCCGGAGTTTCTGAACCGGCTATTGAACAGCGCAAACGTGGAGAATGACGATGACGTTGGCAGATCTTTGACTCGGTTCTTGAGGTACCGTCCTATTAACGAGTTCGAGCCCTTCTTTGAGAGCATAGGTTTAAGTTATTCTGATTACGAGCCGTTTTTACCGCGGGATTTTATTTTTTTGAATGATGATGGGTTGTTACTGGAGAACTATTACTGTCTCTGTGATTATGGTGTTCCTAGGAATATGATAGGAAAAATTTACAAGGGGGCTAGGGATGTTTTTAAATATGATTACGGTGTTCTGCAGCCAAAGCTTCTAGCTTTTCATGACTTGGGGTTGGAACGATCTCTTATCATCAAGATTATTGCCTCCAGCCCGTATCTCTTGAGAGTAGGAGGTGTTGATCCTGATTTTATCCAGCTTTTGGAGATGTTTAAGGTTTTAGGGATTGACTACAAGTGGCTCGAGGAGCATATATCGGGAGTGTATTCTTGTGATTGGACATGTATGCTCGGGCTTGTGCGTTTCTTGATCGAATTGGGATTCAATGCTGATGAATTAGGAGGCATTATTAGACGGAAACCTGAAATTCTACTCGAGTTGTCCGGGTGCACTACTTTTCGCTTTATCGGGTTTTTGTTGAAATTTGGGCTCAGTAAGAGCGACCTGCAGTTAGTTTTTCTTCAGCTCCCACCTATCTCGGTTATAAAATTCTCCAGTAATTTACACAGGTGCTATAAATTCCTGGCAGAGATAAAAATGTCGGCCCAAGATATCGGTTGCATTTTCCGTTCGCACCCGGTGCTTCTGGGCTCGTGCGAAGTCAAACAGGTCAACAGCTTGCTCTGCATATTGAACTGTGGAGTTAAGAGACTCTGCCAAATGGTGAAGGAAGATCCTCACGTGTTGAAAAAATGGGTTCTTCGGTTGTGGACCGACCCAGTAAGAGGCCAAAGCAGGGTACTAAAAGTGAGAAGCATGAAAATTCAGTTCCTTTTGAGTTTGGGCTTTGTTGAGAATTCGAAAGAAATGGAACGGGCCCTTAAAGCTTTCCGTGGGAAGGCAACTGAACTCCAGGAGAGATTCGATTGTTTGGTGAGCACAGGCTTGAGTCGAGAGGAAGTCATAGCCATGCTAAAGGTGGCCCCACAGATTCTGAACCAGTCCAAGGATGTAATTATGACGAAAATTGGGTTTGTGGTGAGAGATATGGGCTGTCCTTTGTCTGATTTGGTTACTTACCCGGCAACCCTTTCGTTCACGATGGAGAGGGTGAAGCTCAGGCTTTTGACTTATGAGTGGCTCAAAGAAGAAGGTTCCGTTTATCCGAATCTGGCTCTGGGCACGATCGTGTCGTGCTCGGATGAAAAATTTGTGAAGACTTACGTAAATAGTCATCCTAGAGGAAATGAATATTGGGAAAATATGAAGAAGGAAATATTATGCAAGTGAATCAAGAGTTGATCTTGTTTTGTGTATGTTCATTCCAACCTCTCAGGTACATAAGTGTGTTTCTGCAAGCTTAATTTATTAATGGGCCGTGGTTATTCAAGATTGATTCTGAGTCCATGGTTTTGAGAGCCTAAGAGCCCAACAACTAAAGGATAGCATATGGCCCAGTCGATATTCTGGAATAAGCCATTTTGAAAAGGTCCAAATCATATCTTGTGGAGGCGCAGCCGCAGCTGGAGCCTGCAGTGTGGTCCCCACCTCTACAGATATAAAATAAAACGCTGTTTATATGTTCGAAAATCAAGAGCCAAGCAAGGAATATGACTGCAAAGCTGTGCTGATCATAACGAGTTACATCTCTAATCACGACCTACAGAAGATGTATACGCGTTGATTGTTATTCAATTATTTGAATTATTCGAGAATTTTTTTTTTTTCACTCAATTTTCTCATTTTGCTTAATAGTGTATCTCATTTTGCACAACTACATGAAGAAATTCCTAAAAAATGGATACTCCTTATTCCATAATTAATAACTATAATCATTAGTCCAATTTTACTGCTCATAAAAGGCACAAAATTTAGTATGCCATACATGTATAGTGTTTAATGATCACAATATCTTACATTTGGCTGGCAGGAGTATTTTCGGTTTTGTTACAAAGCTAACACTTGGCTCGATAGTGGAGCCAACATTCTATATACAACAAGTAAATCATATCATATTAGCAAAATTATTACTCCCTCTTATTTATAATAAGTGTCGTTTTGAGTAGTTGCACAGTAATTAATAATTTTTTTTTTGTCAATAACAACCCTCATTAATGATGATAGAGATGAATGTTTTGAGAAAAAAGATGAAAAGTTAATATGAAAAGACGTATTGTATTTATTAGCTAGGGGATGGTAATAATAGAAAAATATGTACAAAAGATCCAAAACGTCATTTATTTAATTAATTATTGATAAATCTAAAATGACATTTAAAAAAAAAAAAAGGAGGTAGTAGTATTTATTTAAGTAATCAGAGAATATGGTACAATTTACTTGTTGTATATAGAAGGTTGACTCCACTATGAAGCCAACAGTTGGCTTTATAGCAAAACTGGTATTTGTTTAAGTATGGTATAGTTGACTTGTTTTTTTTATTTTTGGTACAGGGACCTTCCGGTTTCCGGATTCACAGGGGAACCGACTAATCCGGAATCGAGCCGGGTAGGACCACAAGGGCGGCAAAGCTCTCCCTCAAGAGTTTTAACACTGCTGCATTCCCAGGGCGAGACCACTGGTTAAGCTGGAAGAGACCCAAACCATCTCAGCCAAACTAGTATAGTTTATTTGTTGTATATAGAAAGTTGGCTCCACTATGAAGCCAACTATTGGCTTTATGGCAAAGCTGAACTAACAATTTTGTTATAGGCATCGGATAACACGATTTATAGAGTCATCCTCCCTATATATGATTCTCGAATGCGCTGAGCCTACGTGGCTGTTTCTGGTGTTTCGGAATCCTACTTGGCGAAAAATCATGCTTCGTAATTAGGTTTGGACAAATAATATTGATATATTAATAATTAATAATTTAGGTTTGGACATTCCATAAATATTATTTATCTAACTTAGGTATTTTAATATCACTTGTACTAATATAACTCTTTAATTATTTGTAATTTTACATAGTGAGGCAATAAGTGACTAATATATCACTGACTTTGATTTGTTTCCTTCAATTAACTATTGAATTGTCAATGTATTTTAAAAGTTGATAACTTTTGTGTTTCTTATCGGTTTTACATATATTATATATCAAATTAATCATCTTTTGATGATCTTCGATTTGACATCCATATTGTATATATGAAATAAATAAATTATATTTATCTTTATAATAATATAAGATAATAATATTTATTAAAATTCATTAGAAAAATAAAATTATTTATCAATTGATATATTTATTTTCAATGTAGTTATATGTTGTAAGTTAAAAAATTATTATAATATAACAAAGGTAAGTCGCACAAATAAAAAGTGTCATAACAAAGGTAAGTCGCACAAATATATAATAATATATATATTTTTGTAAAAGGTATTTAAATTTTCAACTACTTTTTTTCATTAGTTTTAGATTTTAAGAAAAAAATTAGCAAGCACCCGTGTAATATACGGGTGTTGTACTAGCATATATTGATTCAGAACATGTTGAGTTTAAGTGACAGACTCGCATGCTTTGAGATCCTACGTGGCGAAATTACATTCTTAGTTATTAAGACTTTGGTAGATTAATTTACTTTTAGTCCAAATATAATTAAGTCCGGATATTCATAAATATATTATTATTTATGGTCATGTTACATGTATTAATTTTATTTTAATATAATTTTGTTATTATAACCATTGAAGTGTAAATGTATTTTAAAAGTTAATAACTTTTATATTTCTTATCAATTTTACATATATAATATTGCAATAAATCATATTTTTATAACAATAATAAAATTATTTTTAAATATTAGTTAGAAAAATAAAATTATTCATTTAATCAATATATTTATATTTCAATTAGTTATATGCATGATATGAGTTATAAAAATGACTATGATATAACGCATGTAAGTCGCACAAGTAACAAATGTCATTTTAAAATATACAATAATATGTATTTTTTGCACAAAAGTAAATAAAATTTAAAATAATTTTTCTCATCAATTTAAAATTTAAGAGTAATTTTTTAACAAGCACCCGTGTAATACACGGGTGTTGTACTAGTTCATATTTATTCACAAATAGTGTATTGACACGTATCCTACAATAAATACATTTTGAACATGTGTCAATACATTAAGTGATGGATGATCCATAAGAAAACTATAGCTTCATATAATTTTTGATTAAACACAATATTAATAATCAACAGTTCTGCCTTTCTTTTATTCTGTACCCTAATTTCCAAAACAGAAAACAACTCATAAAATAAAAAAATGAATTTACATCCTTTCTCTATTTCTCATTTAACAGCATACAACTATTTTCACCGTCTCCAGTTCCTTCTCTCCAGCAGGCCTTTGCTTCCATTCGCTTGAAAATGGAGATGAAAGATTCAATCTTTTGAAATCTGAATTCATCTTTGCATCAACAATTCACTTTCAAATGCTTATGTGACCTGCTGGGCCGCCATTTTCTCTCATCCTATCAGATCAATTTTATTTTATTTTTTTTATCCTTCACTCGCTCACAGTATACCAATACTTCTTCTCCTTTTTTATGTTTATTTGATGATTGATGTTGAAACTATTCAAGTGGGTTTTGAATAGTGATCGTATAACCAGTTGTTTTTGTAGATTTCTTGCAAAATGGCTGCTTTGATTTAGGATGCGAATGGGTTTTGTTTCTTACTAAGTGAGCTCCATCTGGTGCGTAACTCAGCTTTCTTTTGCTATATAACTTTATTCCTTTTTGTTGTAATTTTTGAAGTCTTGTTTGCTTGATTTCTTTAGGCCACTTTATGTTCTGCTTTTTTTTTTTTTAGTGGTTCTTATTATGTTACACCTGAAATTGATGTGCTTTGATTTGGCTCATTATATTGTTTCTGCAATTAAAAGCTCCTTATGTTATGTAGTTGCAGTAGTGATTAGCAGTAAGTTGTTTCTTTTGGGTGGTGTATGTGTTCAGAAGGGTTGGTAGAATAAATCATATTCTTCATCTAATGATAATTGATCAGTGTTAGGTTTTGAGTTCTTGGTATAATTTCGATTTGTTGGTTGGATTATTTTCGTCTTTTAGCTTTGAAAATCCAAGATTGGACTTACAATGGGTACTCTCTATTCTCTAAAAGACTTACTTCTTTATAATGTAGCCATATGCAGAGTAATTGGTACTATATTTTTGCTTGGTCGGAGATTTAGAAATGGGTAGAGGGAGAGGGAAAGTGAATAAACAATCCCCTATTGCTCGTGAATGTAGTTCAAGCTTTGAAGACGAGAAAGTACCCATGAAGAGAAGGGGAAGGCCACAAAAAGTAACGAAAGACGAAATCAGGAATGGTGATGAGTTGGAAAGGTTAGAGGGAAACGAACAAGAATACGAAACTGGTGAGGATGCTAAAATTCCAGATGCGAGTAAAAATAGCAAAAATGGTGCCGCCACAGAGGATGGCAAGAAGAGGAAAAGGCCTTCATTGGAAGGTGAAGATTTAGTCATAAAAGAAAATGCCTTGATAAAAAATGTGAGCTATAGACAAAATGGAAGTCGGAGGAAAAACAAGCCTAGACGTGCAGCTGAGGTTGGCGTCGAGTGAAAATGAAATTTTGGTGTTAGGATACAAAAAGAAGAAGCTTCCTCGGAGTACATGGCTTCCTCGGAGCAACAGTCCTAGTTGATTGTTTTTCTACAAATTAATGCTTTTTGAGAAATTCTTGGAGTTAAGGAAGTTGATCGAAAGCAATGTGTTTGCTAGTGTGTGTGTGTGTGTGTTGTTGAGTTTTCCGTTAGGACTGTTGCTAGATATCCGAGCTGGGTTTTTGCTTATACTGAGTTTTTGTGGTGAAGTAATTATATATGGCTTACACTAAAGACTGAGTTTTTGTTATTATCTTTGTCATGAAATCAACTCTTCTTGCGAGATGCATTTCATTTGATTGTTTGTTTTCACTTACTTAGTTTCAGTGGTCTTTTTTCTTGCAAGATGCATTTCAGTGAAGATTTTTATATTCATGGAATTTGTGTATGTAATTTCTTGATTGGCTTCAATTCAAAACTTCTCCTCTTACTCACAACCCACTAATATTTGCATAACACCTCATTTAAATTTAGTACAGAGCCCACGCAGTAGCAACATTTGGGCTGAGTAGCCCAAAAGTAGTGATTACAACTTGGGCTAGGTTTCAAATAGACAAAAGGATACGTTTGAAAATGGAGGTGGATTTTTTGTTGCTCCTTTTGTTCTTTTCAAAGTGGTTTTATTAGAAAATAAAATCATACACATTTCATAAATGTGACGTAATTAAAAAAATAATAATGCAATTTAAAAACTAATAAAGAAATAAATTGTAAATCAATTTTCGTAATAGTGAGCCGAAGTATCGTATATTTACAATAAATAAATAAATGAAGTGAAAGCTGCTAGTATAGTTACAATTAATTAAAACAAAATAAATGTAGTTCAAAGGCAGTCATTTTCATATCCTCTGCGCATATACCACTGTCTTGTGGTATAATAAAGATTCTCTATTTTGTTTTCAATTTTAATTTTGTGTTATAATTAGGCAAATACATATTTAGATTCGTAGCTAATCTGCCCAACCAATGTAATTCTTTATTTTATTTTTTGTCAAATATTTATATTTTTGTTGGAGAAAGATACTATCTTACAACTATATATATTATTCATGCATGATATTATATTTATTGGTAAACCATATTCGAATTTAAAAATATTAATGAGCCATGCATGATAATATAACTCGTAATGATAATGATCTTTTAGGATCTCCATCTTGTGTTAGATATATCATTTTGATGTATGTTTAGGTATAGTAATTGACTAATCGTGCATTTTTCTTTTGAAAAATAAAAAATTCATGGATAAAATAGTGCATAATTGGCCAATTTATCTTTTTAAATGATTAAAAATCAAAATTTGAAGATTGATCCAATGGCTTTTCCACCTTTTTTTTTTTCGCATTTTTATTTTCATTTGTGGCTTGTCTTAATATGGCTCATATTGAAAGAGACATGACTGAACTGCAGTAAACTCAACAAAAAAAAAAGAACCACTACATATGTAACTTATGTTAACCCCACATTATACTATATGTTGAACCTAAAATTAAGCCTTGATATTTTGTGTTTTTCGAGCAAAAAAATGTTAATTTATATTATACAATAACATTCTTTTATCTATATATATATTATTAAATAAATATAACATTTTAATATGAAAACTTACATGTATACTCGTTGAAAATGTATGATAATATATTGATTATGCTTCTTGTCGTACATAAGATTGGCATTTCATACTAAGCTCCCAACCTTTTAATAACAGTTCAATTGATCCATATATATAGCTCGGTTAATCATCCTTGTCGATGATTCAAATTAGAAAAACACATCAACTCGAACCTTAATTAATTATAACTCCGGTTAATCATCCCTTTCGATAATTCATATTATTAAATAAAAATAAAAAATCGACCCCAAACCCTACCCGATTCGTACGAGACATTGGAAAGGATGAATACCAAACCAACAAACTAAAGAAAAAGCCACCAAAAGCGACGTTTGAAGGCTATGCCTTATAGATGTGAAGTTGGAGAATGCAAAGTCTCTCACAATAAATTGAACCTACAAGGAGTTGGGGAGGACCAAAATTAAGGGGGACCCTTATTCATTTTTGTTTGTTTTGGTGATTCAATTGGCCTTTTTTTTGACAGGTGCTTCTGCACAAACTGCCAGAAATTATTGAATGAGCCATGGACCAACCAAACGGTCAAGCTTTTGTGGCCCTAAATTATTGATAGATAAAAGACACCCTTTTTTTT